CAATGAAGCATATAACATTTATTCTGCCTACAGTGAGTGGTCCTCTCCGGACAAGCAATCTTTTAGAGATAAATTGCTAGATTCCATCCATGGTTTGCCTGTCCACATAATCACTAACCCAGTTTCAAAGAACATATTTGTTGTCTTAAAGCATTATAGCGGATTTCGTATGACTGTGCAACGGCACGGACGACAACACGGTCACGGCACGGCACCATCACGGAACCTCGCCTTCTAGGATTCCAAATAAAAATAAAGATTTAGCAATACACCACCGCTACGGCACGGTACGGTCACATCGCAAAAGTACCGTGTTTTTTMTATGAGCATTTTGAGAAGTTACTTGTTGACTTGACGAATGATTTTACACTGGAAAACMAAACTTATGAAAAGAATGGCCAAGATATCCYAGATGAGGAAACCCTCAGAGTTATGATAAACAGTATGGACAGCGAGTATTATAAAAACGTGCTGAGAACTGTTTTAGCCCACTGTTTTAGTCACACTTGTACCGGATTACATGATATGGGTATGGATCCTTCAACAGCTAGAAGACGAATTTCAAATTTCYAAGGAATGTGAAAATGCATTTGCTGCAGGCGAGTGAAAACTAAGGTGCAAGATAGCACGTTAAATACAAAGCGAGATGTCTGTCCAGAAAAAAGAGTTAAAGAGTCTAAAGAACGATATCAAGAGAGACTTAATGACGTGAAATCCCTACTTAAGAAATATAAGAAAGCTGTGGAAACGATAAGAAGGGCTGCTAAAAGAAGAAAATCGACTAAAAAGACGAAAATTGGGTGCACAAAGGYCAAGAGAAATGGATGAAGATGAAGAGGATTTTCTGTTAAAGTCAATAGAGGGCGTGGCAACTGCTCATGGAAGAAGACATGACACAGTAATGTATTTGAATCACCGAGTCAAAGTACGAGCTATGCTTAATATAGTACATCATAGAAGAGYTGCCAAGGGAAAGAGCCCCCTAAAGTCAAATTCTACTGTAATGGCAGACATGAAAACCAAAACGTGTAAACAGCATCCAAGTAAAACGACATATTGGGCAATCACTTTTTTGTTGTAAAAAGACATCTAAAACTGAGGATAGCGAGAATGAACTTATTCACCATCAACGTGCACGTGTAAGAAATGCAATGGAAAACCTCTGTGCTGATGAAGAGGAAATAAAATATGCCTTCATAAAAAGGCGACAAAGTCCTTGCCCGATTCAGAAGAAGAAGTGCTATATTCTTCAGGTCAGTTCGGAGATAACAGCCTGAAAGTCGGTGGTTTTTGTCCCTTCACTTTGAATTCAGAACTCGAGACGAAAGCCGTAAATTGTGCTGGGGGTGATGTGCAGTTATAAACGTCAAACAATGGCGAATAAAGACTAGTTTGGTTGAACGAGCGGGGCACTAAAGCACGTACCGGACAGGAAAAAGGCCACCAGAGAGATTTTCATCCTMAGATCTATGCCACTGAAGGCCAAGGGAAAGATGTCCATTTAATTAAATACTACAAGAACTTTGCAGCTCACAGGCCATCTGAGATCAGTACTCCTGATTCGCCATTTATTCTGGCAGTGAATTACAATCGCTTCAAAATAATCCCATTTGGTACAAGAAATCTCCATTAGGAAAAAAAAAAAACAGATAGAAAGTTTCTTTCTGTGGCCGCTAACAATGCACTAATAATCAAGCTACAGTAGCTAAAGTGTCAAATCACTCGGTTCAGAATACCAGTATTTCAAGACTCATGGACACAAACTTCCTGGAAAATTGAGTGGCCATAAATCTACAGAGAGCCTCCAGGAATACAAGAAAGCCGGCAAAAATCAGCAAAAAAGCCATGTCAATGACTTTCAGTTGATCTGTGTCTAAAGAGCTGATGCCATTTTCACCCATCTTAAGGCAGTCTGCCGCCAATTTTCAACCATCCCCGTCATTTACGGCCATTCCGAGCACATCCAATGCCGGAGAGCCGACGAAGCAGTTAGAGTATTACAACGCCATGACACGCAATTCCTGCAGTTCGGACGTCTCAGCGTTTATTTCTGGGGTCCACAACGTCTTAGGATGTAGTTTCCAGACTTAAAATGGTCCAGTGACCATTCAACTGAACAAGGCAAACGCCATAGAGTTGTACATCAAAAGCGACGACGAAGATTGAATATAGTTTGAATTCATTCAAATTCTGCTCCAAAGAATGACTCACATTTGTTTGAATATTCAAAAACGAATCTCTAAATTTCTTGAGTAAATAAAGGATTTTTCTTCATTTGTTTGTAATAAACTCACCACTTGTCAGTTTTACGCCATGTGCTTGCTTGAATTAATTGTTAATTACATCACGCTAATCGATATTCGCGCGCTAGTTTTCAGCTTTTTTCTTAGCATTTTTTTTAAAAAGCAGTCNGATGTTTGAGTTGTAATGACGATAAGACGGCTTGTCTAGTCTTATTGAAATTATCCTCCTCCATGGCAGATACAGCATCTTCTTCTGTTACTTCGACTGTCTTTTGTTTGATCTTTGTGGCCATTCGGGAAAAGAAGGAAGAAATCTGTTCAACGGACAAAAAYTCTGTTATTCCAAATARCCGGTTACCGTCTTCTCCACGGGCGTGCCTCATATCTTTTGAGACATCCTCGGCTCTCAATTTCCTTCCACTCTCTTGGCCAATATTGAACTTCGCTGTTAGATACATCCTCTGCTTATCGTTGAATCGGTAATTCTTACTTGTCCCTTTAAGCGCCCAGCCCTCTTCGGGAACGGGACAGGAGTCGTCTTCTTTGTTGGAAGGCCTGCTCATTGTTACAGATGGCATTTCGCAAACATCCTCCTTTAGAAAGGAAGCGTATTTTTCTTTCGCAATATCGAACATGGTTTGCTTCTCAAGAGTGTTGGTGCATTTATCTAGCGAGAGATGCTTTTCAAGGGCGGAGGATCTCTGAAAAACACGACAACATCCTTCGTGAGGGCAGGAGTAGACTGCCGGTTCACTCTCCTCTGCGTCCTCATTGCTGACGGCTTGTTCTTGGCTTACAGCTGGCTCAGCTTTCTGGGTACACATTGCACTTCTGGCCGCGGATTTTACCARCTTAAACTTCCCCGGTGAAAACGGAATTGTAAGCCACTTGATCCCTAAATCTAAAACAAATATATAATAAAAATTGCTTGTAATAATATACAGGTTGGTTCATAATACATACTACATATAACATGATATATATAATACGTTAGATAATATTTGGTATATTACGCGCRCTCGGATTGGTCGGGAACCCGGCCGTGTGTTATTAGAGTACACACGCACGGATGACGTCATTCAATCTTACGCGCGCTCTGATTGCATGGTCAGATCTTGTGAGCGCGCGCTGTGTTATCATTTCCGTTCCGTTGAAATTACGCGCGCTTTTGGGCATGTTTAAAAGAAACATTATCTAAAAGAAATAGATTGCATTTTTCCGTGCGTCTGTAATCTAATAGATGCACAGATGACGTCAAAATGTGGTAAGAACAAAAAAGTACGCACGAGACGCATAATCATATTATACAGCAAAGATATAACGCACGATCTCATTGGTCAATGGGCGGGACGTACTTTTTCTAGATGTACAGACCAAAAAAGTGAGAGCAGCTTTATTTTTTACAGACCAAAAAAAGTGAGAGCAGCTTTATTTTTTTCTTAAAATACTATATGATAAATATTTTATTAACCTCGTTTGCTCGGGCCGTATGGGAAGTTATGGAACCTCGTTTTTCCGTCCACTTTCAATGCGCTGCGCGCTCTGGCCATAAGGCAGTGAAAAAAAAACTCGGTCTATAACTTTCCGTACGGCTCTCGCGCTCAGTTAATAAGACATTAGTATCTATATACCTATCGCAAAAAATACATTTATTTCATAATTACATATATGCGCGTTTATATTATCTAAAGTAAATTGCCCCTCATTCTACAATTCCTTACTACAGATTTCTTCCAATGTAATGAATAACTGAGGGGTTTCAATTACCTTTAACATTTCCTGGTTTGATTTTCWTTCCCTTTCCAATATCATAAGCGCGCCATGAATGAATGGTTTTACCCTTGAACTCAAAGTTGTTAAGCTTGCTTATTCCAGGGATTTTGTCTAGCTGAGCAAGGGAAGAATCATCGATGGATGGTACCACAGCAACACGTACTCCCTCCACACCACCATGTGACAAAAGGGCGTTCTTCATTTCCYCGGCATTTGCTACATCGTTGCCTTCATTTATGTACATTCTGATGTGGTTCTTGCAGGTAGCAGCAAGGCGGTCAGCTGAGCCTTTYCCCCCTTGAGGATCGCTAAAGTCAACCCTTGCAATATTAATTCGTGTTGACTTTTGGATGTGAGGGCATGCGAGAATTGTACTTGAAGAATGGTAACATCCCGCGTTATCCTGGCGGAAGAAAGCTCTCYTTAGTTCTGGATATTCATTCTCCAAGGTCTTCAGCACATGCTGCATGATGAGTACAATGGCTGTGCTGTCTTGACTGCAAGAGTCAATGATGTGAATGAAGCCTTGAGACTGCAATTTTCCCTCAAAACGTCGGAAGATAACAGAAATGTGCCAGGAAATGCCCTTCTTTCCGAACCAGTCGGATTGTGCTTCTCGGTAAAACCGTGGGAGAAACTTCATCGCCCAGTCATCCACTATGTATACAGTTTCCTCGTCGTCTAAAAGATCAATCACGTCTAATCTTGCTTGGTCTTGTCGAACGCTACGAAGCTGGTGACTTTTCCATAACTTGATGGCCCTAGCTGACGATGTAAACAGATACAGATTCTCATCTCTATCTTCATCCGAGAAAAACGTACACTCTTCTATTGCCTTCTCTATGCTCTTCAGCGTCTTATCCAGATTTTGACACTGTTCACACCTTTCATCGTGCTTGTGAGTACACTTGTACTTGAACGCTTTATCAGCCTTATCACTCAGTGCGTACATATAACAGTGGTCTGGGACTTGAGCTTTATCACTTACATGTACCTGAAATGTCAAATACACAAACTTAGTTACAAATAAAAAAGGAAACTCTGTTTTGGCACGTTTCGTTACCTTGTAATCGCCTTTCAAATAGAGTTTTCCAACTTTCAAGGACTCTTTTACTTTCGCCGCCCATTTCTCCCCATCGGTTTTCAAAGGTGATAGAGTCTGAACAACGTTGGCTAAGTCGTCAAAGGACCTTGCTCCTTGGGCAGCAAAGTTGTCGAGGCCTTGCAGAGATTTACGAACGGTTGCGCTACACTCGTTAAGCACTCTTAACATAGTGCTATTGCTGAAAGGTTTGAAGCCATTTTCTTCGCAGTATTGAGTGTATTGTTTTACTATCCTCTGAGGTATCATGGTGCGGATGATATTTGGTACTTTAATTATTTTGCCGGATGACAACTTTAAATCTTTTTCGCCAAAAGGCAAATCCTGCACAAGGTGAGGGCTTGTTATAAAGCTTAAGAAATGGTCAAGTTGCTTGTGACTTATACGGAGGCGAGGTGCGGTCTCCACTGGAACTGGAGCACTTCTTCCGTGTTGAAGCCGATGAAGGTTAGCCATAGTAAAACGGTACTGTGTGAGTCCAGGAATGTACTCCGAGWTAACACGGTAGCTGGCTACATCAGACATAGTTGATAGCACTTGGCGCCTGGTATCCCAGCTTTCTGCAGTTTTGTATGCTTCTGCCAAGGCTTCTAAATAGGCTTGCTCAGCGGGCTGATGACTGTAACCAAACGCTTCATTCACTGTACTTGATGTCTGTAGTCCTTTCCAAAGATGGGAAGCATTATTTGGAGAAATGTCCTTGATAACTGCAGTGACAATCTCACYTGTTTTCTGCACATATCGGTGTTTTGTACGCTCCGATATTTCGTTCCAGTCCAACATCGCTTTGMCTAATGGTGTGATGTTGCAAACCTCTAAGTATTCATTCAGCTTTTTTTGTCTCACAACTAACGTAGAGACATCTAGGACATCGCCAGACGATCCAGTACTTGCAGTATCTGGAGAGAAGATACTYCACGTGCTATCGGCTATTTTTAATTTATTCATTTCTTCGGCAAGTTCATCCGACGATTGTGTGTTACTATCTTTTTCCTAAAAGGATTTCAAAAGTGAGAGATTTTTGCTATAGAAGCAAAATGTCTTTCAATCTGTCATAACAGCATAACTATCATGTGGACTCAACTTTCAAAATTCATTAGTCTTACCGCTTTTTCAACTATAATGCATGGTGGATCKTGATCTTGAGATAAAAAGATTTCTGGACTTTTTCCTACCTAGACATAAATGCGAAAGCTAAATCATTACCGTGTTCTGAAACAAATAGCTATAAATCCAGCGTGRTTAATTATTCAAGGTGAGACTTACCGCTTCTTCATCAATGATGGCTGATGAAATATTCTGATCTTGAGTGGAAGATATTCCTGGACTTTCCCTTCCCTGGACATGAATTATGCAAAAGTAAGATCATAACTGCGTTCAATTCAGTACCAAATTGCCATTAATCCAGCGTGGTACATGCTTTAAAGTAAGCCTTACCGTTTCTTCAGCAATGATGCMTGATGACGGACCCTGATCTTGGGTGGCAGAGATTTCTGGACTTTCTTCCCCCTAGACATGAATGCAAATATTCGATCATTACTGCGTTTAGATAATTATTTGAAGTGAAGTTAATAACAATTACAATAATAATCACCATAAGCTTCATCATAATTATCATAAAAAGTTATATAATTATAATCTCGGATGACCACCATCATCTGTCTGTCATCACTAATAATGATAATAATAGAATTAATAATAATTATAATAACAAAAATAATAATAATAATATAAATGATGATAGCGACAATATGAATGATAATACTATTGATAATACTACAATCAGATTTATTTATTAACAATCGCCTTTAAAAAACTCAATGCTTTTAACAAATAATAATAAMTAATAAATAATAGTTATCACGCTAACTTGAATAGACTAGGTCTTACCGTTTGCTCAGGATTGATGTTTGATATCCATTCGTTTGCGACCGTAGACAGATATTTTTTGCAGTTTTTACATATTGCTAAAACAATAAAATAATTACTTTAGCACCCTTCTACAGAATATATGAAAAAAAGTGATCCCAATTCCAAGTACAAGAGCTCACGTATGTTACTCTGATACCTTAGACTTCGACACCATAAATATCAGGAGGAAGGGAATGGTTGTAACTCCTCGCGTCATCACCACCCGCTCATAATCGACATATCATTATTAGGTATTATCATCGCCATCATTGACGAGTTGACGTTTTTGTTTTTGTGGCTCTCGCTTGAACAGCTTTAATATTGTATCTAGTCCCAGGAAAATTATATGAATTGTCTGTGTATCAAGCGAAACAGTGCGATCGAGTAAGCGTCGTAAAATAGGTACCTGTTCCTACTGGAATAATTGTCTTGGTCTCGTTGAAAACGAAATGTGACAATATAGTTGTCAAACCACATTGAGCTTTTGGAGATGAAGATTTGTGAGCTGCAAGAGTGGTTGGAATTGCACATCTGGTTTTACTGCTCCTCCACCGAACTCCATACAAGTCGCGGTGCAACGGGCATACTGTCATATTCAAGTGTACCTCATGGACATCGAAAATACCTTGAAATAATCATGAGTTAGGTGAAAAGGCTAGGGAGTAACATTTGGTAGATTACATAACAGTCTTACCTGCACGCGCGAGAAGTAACCGTGATTCACGTCCAGAGAGCGAAGCATCGTCACTGATCTTATACAGCGAACAGTGGCTTAAAATATCCTTATTACAATCCTTGATTGTTACACATTCGACAATGGACGCATTATATGTGCTTGGGCCACAAGGACCACCAACCAGTGCAGCATAATGACACGACGCCATTACACTAACACTGATTCCCATTTAATACTTAACCGGTTTCATAATCATGTGTTGTCAGTCTCTCATGCTGATTGATTTTTAYTCARAAAACCGATCAAACCAAATACATCAACAACAAAAATTAAAGGTAAAGATTATCTTTCTGCAAAAATGTTAATGAAAAAAAGCTTCATAGAATCATTATAATTAAAAAAAAAAGATTTCTTTTGACAAGTTATCAACCACCCATAGTGACTTGGACATGTCGTTCAGACAAATCAGCTCAACAGAGAAACAATAAAAGTATTGCAATCTGGTAGAATTTTGAGTTTAGGAGCCTCAAAATAATTTGATATTGAATGGCATTGCAAACGGCWYAGTAATAAGATGTAAGTGACGTCTAACTGCAATAGAATGTGTTTGTTTACGTAACATTGGAATGTCACGAATTAGATTTCAATCTGCTTGCTCGAGACATATTCCAGGTCTATATTACCCGAAATTAGACTCCAAATGCGAACTCATTGAATTACATTTAGTTCTTGAGCAATAACATGAGCAAAACTTATTCACTCGTTTCATAAATATCGATGCAGCGAAGAATGTATTTTGGAAACGAGTTAGCCGGAAGCTAGCGCAACKAGTAAGTGTTCTGAAATGACGTAGTGCTATCACTTGTATTACTCCTTGAATTTACTCTATGTGCATTTGTGGTTGGAAACGTAAAGTACAGCTTTGATACTATGTTTTAAAGAGTTAAATTGTTGTCGCAGTAGTGATTTGGCGTTGTATTATTTTTAAGTGCGACACTCGTCTGCCAACACACTGATTGCRTGATATGCTAATATCTATAAATAGTATACTCACAGTTTGACCTCTCGCTCGACGGGGATTTGAGTGCCGCCAAAAATTTTTTAGTATGTTTGAGACCAATGATAGACCTTTACGATTGGTATATTTTTGTTTTAATTTCTTATATACCACGGGCCATTTTGAGGCATCGAAGTTAGCCTAAATTCGCCTTCTGCCTAGAAGCYGTGAATGTGAATTGTTTGCTAGCTCAATATSCTTTTTAAARTTTTDAAATAAAATTATTTTTTTGTTGCAATACAAAATATAAGGATGGATTTTGATTGTGTAAAAAGATTGTTGAAATACGGCTTAARKATAATCGTCACGAATGCAGCCAAAATCGTCTATTTTGACCAGAGTCAGGCGGTCAAAACCCTGAAATCCTTCTTACCGTAATTTCTCGAAAAATAAAAGGCGCTGAGACTTTTGAATTATATTTTCGAAACTAGCTCACCAAAGGTGTTCTTTGGGTAAAATAAAAAAAAACTCGAGTTTTCCGATCTGTCATGGGATTCTCGGTATTTACGGACAGGCGCTCTTAAGGCAGTCTGCCGCCAATTTTCAACCATCCCCGTCATTTACGGCCATTCCGAGCACATCCAATGCCGGAGAGCCGACGAAGCAGTTAGAGTATTACAACGCCATGACACGCAATTCCTGCAGTTCGGACGTCTCAGCGTTTATTTCTGGGGTCCACAACGTCTTAGGATGTAGTTTCCAGACTTAAAATGGTCCAGTGACCATTCAACTGAACAAGGCAAACGCCATAGAGTTGTACATCAAAAGCGACGACGAAGATTGAATATAGTTTGAATTCATTCAAATTCTGCTCCAAAGAATGACTCACATTTGTTTGAATATTCAAAAACGAATCTCTAAATTTCTTGAGTAAATAAAGGATTTTTCTTCATTTGTTTGTAATAAACTCACCACTTGTCAGTTTTACGCCATGTGCTTGCTTGAATTAATTGTTAATTACATCACGCTAATCGATATTCGCGCGCTAGTTTTCAGCTTTTTTCTTAGCATTTTTTTTAAAAAGCAGTCATATAATAAAAGATTTAATAACCTCGTTTGCTCCTTCTGTATGGTAAAATATTCGACCTCGGTCTTTTATGTACGCGCTTGGTCCGCACTGTGAAGATCTCGGTTTGATATTTTACCATACAGATCTCGCGCTCGGTTAATAACCCTTTATTTTATTATTGATTTGAAAAGGTTGCACAATCATGGAAGAACTTGCCAAGATGTCTGATAGGCACAAAGAGATATTGCATTAAGTTTGCATGTGTTTTACAGATACAGATCTCTTGCTTGTATCTATCTAATTTTATTAATACTAGAACTTGCATGATAGCTTTCCTGTTTGRTCACGCGCCATGCTTATATTGGTAACTGATGATACTAGAATGCAATAAATCGTTATTTTTTGCCTTTGATGACCACCAACAACCAATTGATGACACATAACTATGTTTTCTGTTTTTAGAAATTCCATTATTGTGATGAAAACACTTGTGCAGAGAAGAAAGGTTAGTACAAAAGTGGATTGCACGATTGCACTTGGATGATTCAAGTCCATTCATAAAATCAAAGAAACGTTAAGTAGTTTGCCGAGGGTTTGGTGCTCTAACCAGAACAAACATTCATACAACAACATTACGGCCTCCACACACGCTGAATGAGGTTTTATCCATCTACTTTGTGTCTTGYAAGCCAAAAAAGACTTAACAATACAATAAATGCTATACATGTATATTTGTGTTACATGTGATCAACTTGATTGCACAATGAAAGCAATACTGAGCTTAAAATCAAATTTGGAATTTATACATTGTAGCTGAGAAAAATGGCTGGTTCAAATATAATACATCATCATTCAAGATATTTTATGAGCAGAAAATATGGGCCAACGCACAATCACATTGCCGGTCACTGGGAAGTGACTTAGCCACTTTTGATTCTCTGGCGGAATACCGTTTTGTAAAGTCAGTTCTTCTGTACCGTAAGTATGCTAGGTTATCAACAAAAATTCTAACTCTAGCTTTCCAAAAGCTTGAAAACATCAGCCAGTGCGTACTCTTCCTGATGTTTGATGACACGACCATTGAGCGTGCAATGACGGASGATACCTGTAAATAATCATAACAAGCTCATTGGTAGCACAAGAAGTATAAAAAAATCAAGATACAAGTATAGGATTTAYCTATTTCAACCAAATTGTAAAAATAAGAAAAGAGTTGACATGCGGTCCTTTGTCTCGATATTTTTGGATTCCATCATTATTTCTACAATAATGGTCTAAGTCAACTGCTGTACAAAAATTCAATACAACTCTCCTTGAATAACATATTCTTTTTTACTTTATCAGCACTATTTGTATCAAGAAGGGACCTTGATGAATACAGGTAATAACACTTCTATAGGCAATTTTACTTGTTGTATTTCCAATGGGTTAAAAATCACAAATTTAAAAAAGCTCGAATGACGCTAATGCATCTTACCGTATATGATTTGACTGTTAATTTGTCTCTTCCTTATTTCAAGAACTTGGTTTAGGAAATTACCATTTTCTAAAGGCATGTAAGAAGGACACCCATAAACAAAATATAAATACAAAAATTTATAATAGGATAGAAAAACAACTTCACAATTACTACAAACAAAAAAGTTGCAAAACTATAGGCCTATTCAATTCATGGACTAAAACTGCATGCATGTTCTAACGGTGAAAAATGTCAATATTGCTCATAGCTTATTCAATGGTGCAGTTATACAAATTAAAGACAACAAGAATGGTATATATTTTGATGGACAAAACGATTATGCTCGTATACCTAGCTTTGGAACCCACAAATCAGACTGGACGTGGGCTTTCTGGCACTACAAATCCACAAACAATTACGGATTTATCCAGTTTTTTAATGATGTGATCAGCTCAAAAAGGAGACAGTTTGCTTTCTATGTGTTCAACGGAAGAGTTGCACTAGACTTTCTCAATGTCAATCGCAAAAACGTGGCTCCTGGACTGGTCTTTTCCGTAAGGTACTGCTAATATATTCAGTAATGCATACTAGAAACTAATATTTAATATCATAACTACTCGCATTTTTCACARATGTAAGAGAAAATCCATCAATGCCAGCAAAGCGGAAACAAAAGTATAATGATAGCCGATTATTTGTTGTCATCCCCCCCAACCCCCCAAACAAAACAACAACAACAACCAATAACAACGAAAACAAAAATAAAGGAACAATTGAATTATAGATTCAATAAGAAGAATGTCTAATGAATAATTCATGAGTTTTAGAAGAAATAGTAAAAGGACTCTAAGTCAAGGATTGAATTCAGCTCTACTATAATCATTTTTACAAATTATTATTATTTATTTAAAATAGTTATTTAAAAATTTTAGGTTATGTCACCTATTTCATAGCTTCTTATTTTGAGTTTACATGTAATACTACCTACTACCAACAAGTACTGTGTAAAAGTGTTGGTGAAATGAAAACTGTATTAATAGGGGTAGAGTTTACTCTAGGGGTACCTATGTAGGTGTACCAAACATAAAAGGACAAGGTTTCAACAAGGAAAAAATGCTGGTATTTTCCTACCTAAGACCGTTATTATGACATTCGTTCCGGAAGGTGTAACACTTCTATTTGTAGTGTTTGTAAACTTTTTTCTGTTGAAACAGTTGTCATTTTAACACATGAGAACGGGCCATTGACTATCTGAAACCACCACCCTTTTCGTTGCTGTTGTGCTCACGTCTACCCTTTGACGGTTTCYTWCACACTTTTTTCTACAATTTAAATGGTTAATCATTACTGCTGTACGCGATGGTATGTAATTGTTTTAGTGACAGCTTGTCAGATATATCATATTTACTTAGGGTTACGAGTCCTCAGTCATAATCTCACAGTAGAGGACAACACATCTCGATTTGATATAGTTTTTTGGAAAATCACTCTCGCGTTATCCCGAAGCCATGGCTCATCCTACTCGAAAAACAGCCAGAAAAGCAACAAAGACTGAGCAGGATTCTCGTCTATTCCCGGCTCAGCGACTCTACGACATGGATGTTGATCCATCCCCGCCATCTTTGCCAATGCCCACGAGGTCCACACCATTATCTAATCGTGACAAGGCAAGACTTCTAGAAGCCGAGCG